GTTTACACGATTATGCACGTCGTCTGCACGTTGGCGGGCCGTTCAAACCCGTCGAAATTCAAGTTTCCGCCGTCAAAATTTTTATTTATTTTGTTTTGTGTGTTCCAATAAAATATGTTGAATTAAAAACTCGCGAAATTTGAGAAGCTCCTATACGACATTTAACCCTTCAATATGTCTTCAAAGAGACCATGATGCAGAGAAAGTGGTGCTAGTGCTTCTAAGCATAAGCGCAAGTCACTATCTATCCAGGAAAAAGGTGAATTTCCATGGCCCGGCACCGGTCAGGTCCCGAGGTTGCCGGGCTAGAGAGGTACAACCTGTACTCTGTAAATGGAAAGAGTAGGACTCAAAATTACATATGTTGTCACAGTTTGATTGCTCGTTTTAAAGTGGCGACCGCGTGGTCGCTTGTTGTCGCTGTGCAGCTGTGGCGCTCATGCATGCACACATACACACAAAAGCCAGCTAAAAAAAAAAAAAAAAAGTTTGAGTTTTAGAAAAGTCCGGACTCTCGGGTGGTCCGGATTTCTGGCATCCAGATTTTTGGACTTTTACTGTATATTTAAAACAGTATGGTGCTGGAAAGTTGCTGTATGGTAGAGGAGTTGCTGTGCAAGAGCTTCTTTAGAGGAGGTGTTGCATGTTGCTGGGCTCTAGGCAGAATCTCGACTTCACGGCGAGACTGGGAGCTTGTATAAACGTCCAGAAGACTTGGAACGGAAGTATGCGTCGCCGGTGTCGACCCTACCCCCCCTTTGTCTAGACGTCGCGCCCCCCCCCCTTAGTCTAGACTTGTCAAGAGAAACTTGGCGCGAGTCTTAGGCGGCTAGGCTTGTCAGAGGAAGTTCGTCGTGGCAGTTGTAGGGGAGAGTATCCACTACAGTGTATAATGTACAGTGGCCATATTCAAGAGTAAATCTACAACCTCCTTTCATGTGCAGTCATTCATTCCCCCTTACCACCATAATAAAAAATATCTATCTCTTTTGTCTCCGTCACTCCATCCAATTTAGGATCATCTCTCAGCTGTACAGTATATCAATCCGCACAGACCCTCACAACCAAATTTTGCTGTCTGTCTGATCATGCTTGTACATAACCGCCTCCTGTATGTCTGTCCTTCCTTTTATCCTGTACCTCCCTTAACTCATCCTCTTCTTATCCTGTACCTTCAGTAACCCATCCATCCCATTCTTAAGGTTTTATCTTCTTTCTCCCTCCATGCAGTTCTGTATTAAGCACTCTTTTTACTAGCCATTCATTTATATAGGGTACTCTCAAAATGTTCAAAATTATCACCTTAGCAAATTCTCACAGACCTCGTCATATATACTAGTTTTACTGCATCTTTTTATTTCTGTATGTTGTTGTATGAGTGCTCTTCATCTTGTTCTCCCACACAGGGATGGTCCAACTGGGGATGAGTCCCCCCCCCCCTCCCCCAATGATTGGTCTTGAGTTAGTTAAGTTGCCAGAAGTTGGTCACAATGATCCAAAAAATTCAGGGAGATAGTCAAGAAAGGACACACATACACACACATTATTATGTCTAAAGCACATGTAAGTTTGTATATTTTCAGCCACCGACTGCAACTCTATTAATAAACCGTTTATTATTATTTTTACACACACTCTCACACACGCACGCACGCTCTACTTTGCTGTCACTCGGAATCGAGTATGACGATCATCCAGCTATGATGCATTGATATTAGTTATTAAGGATGTCACCTCGGTTGGTGAGTTCTGAGGTGACTAAAGAGACCGATACGGGACTCGCAGTGTCGTTAACAGATGTTGCACATGTGGGGGAGCTACTTATAGTTTGGGAGGGGTGGCAGCAGCGTCTTTCCAGTGTTGGCGCTTGTTATGCAGTCGGGTTAACTTAAAAGTATTGACACCAACTTGTGTGGTGATCCTCCAAGCATTATGATGAGAGTAATCGTCCCCCAGGTGAGGGGTCGATTTGGCACTTTTCAGGTTTGTCTTAAGACTGTCCTTATAATGTTTCAGTTGCCTGTCAGCGTTACGTTTACTATTTGTCAGGTGACTGTAAAGTAACTGCTTTGGCAGTCTACTGTCGTCCATGCAGGTAACATGGCCAGTCCAACGTGGTTGTTCATGGATAATGGTAGCCTCGATGCTTCTGCATTTGGTGTCAGCAAGAATACTGGCATTTGTTCTCGTCTTCCCAGCGAACTCGGAGAAAGGAACGTAGACTACGCATGGCACGGGTTATGAGGACATCACGGCGATATCTTTCTTTGACAATGATGTAGTCAATGAGATGCCAGTGTTTGGATCGTGGGTGTTGCCATGAACCCTTGAACTTGTCGGCCTGCTTAAGTAAGGTATTGGCGATAGTGAGGGTGTGTGCAGCACACTTGCTGAGGAGGAGTAGGCCATTGGGATTACACTTGCCTAGTCCATTTCTCCCTATGGTTCCCTGCCAAATTTCAGCATCTCTGCCAACTCTGGCATTGAAGTCACCAAGGAACACAACCTTTTCTTCTCTGGGGATAGAGGTTAGCACTCTGTCAAGGTTGGCATAAAAGGCCTCCTTGATGTCATCCTCTGCATCCAGTGTTGGGGGTATGCACTGATGAAAAAGGCATGACGTGAGTGATTCAGTGGGACTCGTTGATCCCAATAGGCATTTCAGTTAGCCTGTGTAGGATGCATTGGCGGATGGCAAAGCCAACTCCATAAATGCAGTTTCTCTCCGCAGCAGGCTTACTCTTCCAGAAGAAGGTATAGCCAGACCCTCGTTCTGTGAGTTGACCCTCGTCTGGGAGCCGGGGCTCACTAATGGCTGCTATGTGGATGGTATACCTAGCCAGCTCTTTTGCCACAAGGGCGGTTCTTCTTTCAGGACGCTCATTTATACCAGTATCCAGTATGCAGCGACCATAAGAGGTTGTATAGTTTGATTTTGTTTGGACAGCACCACCTTCAGTATGTAAGAGTGAAAGGTCTTTTAGCAGGCTTAAGCTTTTGAAAACATTTCTGCGAAACAAAGCCTCGGGAAAACGGTTGCATAAACTTATGCTCATAGCTTGTGAAAATTACATAACTGATCAGTTAGATCTTCAAAAGAACACAAATTAGTGGAGCCTTTGTGTGTATTAACAGCTGATTCGCCAGGCAAGAAGATGACGGTAGCAATGCGTGTGATGGAGGTTGCAGGAGGGGGTTTTGAGAATTGCAATTAAATGCCAGGTAGCGACGTGTCCTCCTAATATTACGTATTTAGTAATTATTAGATGTTTTAATTGCCTGTACAGTATGTTGGCCTGGCGAGTTATTGCTAGGCATTAACATACCTAGGTATAAAGCTAGACGTTGCATTCTGGATTGAACAAAAATATATATATTTTTTTTAATTATTTCTTTCTATTTGAATAAAGATTTTACTTTATCCATCAAATTTTTATGCTAATGTTTAATATTAAACATTTAATACAGAATTTTTTTTAGTTCGCTTGTTTGTTTGTTTTTAATCCTCATTAGTTGGTCAAATTTGATAAACTGGGTGTCGAGTTGGTAACCCCCCCGTCACAATCACTTCGAGCCGTGCCTGCTCCCGCACATTCCTCTCGAGGCACTCTTGCTCATCATTTTTGTACAGTAGTTTCTTTACTTCTCTTCCGTATACTGTACAGTACAGAACTGTATACTACTCCATTCAATAATGCTAAACTTTGGCCTATACATACTGTACATTCCTATTATTGACGTAGATCTCTTTCCATACCTACATTTTCCAGTGCACCACATCATTTCCTTCATTTCATTACCCATTATTCCATTTTCTGATGAATTTACTCTTCGAAAACACTTTCATTTTTTCACTGTCGCCACTTAAGGAAACTTTTTAATTTTTCCTTTGTTTCCCCTGTACTGTATACTTATTTTTATCACATTTTCACATTCAGTATTAACTTTCTCATAGTATTATGCATTTATCAAAATTCATTAAGAAGTTTGCAAATTTTTATGTGAACCAACCATCAGGACAGTGTCATTTGTACCCCACATCCCTATAAACCAAACCTGCTCTCATCTCGCATCTCTCTTATGTTCACTGTCTTATTACTGTACCTCACCCATGAAAGTACTGTTATTGAGCTGCCTTGGCAACCTTTAACAGTAATTCTACTACCATGAGGAAGATATGGTACAGTACTGTAGTAATAACACATAATTACAGAACATCCATTATGTAGTCACAAAACAGTTTAGTTAACAGTTATGCACTTTTAATTACTTTATAGTTATAATTAAGTCCTTATATGCCACAACAAAAGTCTATGTTGTTTGATGATGTTATCACAAAAACTGAGCACTTATTACCCAGACTTAATTCATGAGATAGTGAATGTAGTGAGCTGAAACATGGATGGGAGAGTCACCCATGTAGAGCCACAGCCAAGCACTACTTCTGTCTCTTAAGAGTTAACTCCCAAAAGATGCACTTTTCAGAAATAGCACCTCTGAGACATTATAGTACAGGGCAGTTTTACTTTACTGTATTAGATTTCAATCTCTCTTAATACATTTTTGGAGTGCTGTGGTCGAGTGGATACAGCGCTCGCCTCCTGTTCCAGGGGTCGGTGGTGTGATCTCTGGGCACTCCTAGTTCACCCACTTGTAAATGGGTACCTAAGTTTATAACTTAGGAAAGTGAATGCCTCCATGTGTACCAAAGGTTTAGTTTACACAGTGCTGTATCCACACTGTCTCAAACAGGCAGTCATGCCTTTGGGACCCACTATAATTTTTTTATTTTTTTTTTCATTTTAAACAGCAAATCTTTATTCTTGTGCAAATAAAATTTCATTTTTTTTACCATGTGCAGTGATAGTTCGACTGTAAATGTCTACATATTAAAACGCCATACTTTACTTTACATTGAACATTGAATAATGATCAAACATTTGATGTTGATGCAGGTAATGTGAGGCTGAACTTGAGGCATTGAATTTCTTTATTTTCAGTACTGAAGATGTTCTGGGTATCATCATAACAGATCGTGATGGTGTACCAATACTCAAAGGTTTGTATAGTATACTATTGTTTATGAATTAGTGAAGAAATCACAAGGATGAGTCCTCTATACTGCCTGAACAACATACAGTACACCTGGCATTGCAGCGTAAGATGTACTGTACAGTATATTTGTAAATACTGAACACTATACCCTTGTTAATTTGAATCATTATACATGTAATTCGGATTTTGGCTTAATTCATATGTTTTTCAAAAATATATTACGGTAACAATTATAATTTGCAATGAATCTGAAATAACCGAGCAGTTCTGAAAAGTTGCATGGCAACGTGCTTGAAAATTCAAGACCATTGCTTCACATCAACTCTGACCACCTGGCTCCTTGGGCAGACTTTAAATTTCAGGCTCATGATTCAACTGTGCTCTCACTGCTCCCCAATCAGGCTTGGGTCATGCTGCTATCATGTAAGAGTGGGTCACTAGCACAGGTGCAAGGTTATGCGGCACTGCCACCTCCTCAATTGAGATGCTTAGCGCTTTAAAGCAGGCTTTTTTTTAGTAGTTAGTAGGTACTACCGCCTGGGAAGATATTGGAAGCATAATGTTTGTTGTCTAATGGTAGACCTTGCTGCCATATGGCATCACGAAAATTGTGACCAAGTCCCAGGATGCTGATCTGTCCTTCTGCTTCATTTACACACAATTGCAGGGTCTCAATAGTTTCTCTTACTGTTGACAACACAACATATATAACCATTCTCACTCCTGATCTCTTCTATTCTTTCTTATCCTTTATTCTCCTATGATATCAGTTGACAATACAGGCATCCCCCGCATTACGGAAGGGTAGCTTCCCTGGAAAAATGATCGTATCTCGAAATTCCGTAACGCGAAACCTATTTTCCCATTGACTTCCATTATAAAACTGGAGATGCGTTCCTAAGGAATTTTTTTCGACACAAAAAATAGTAATTCAAGCACTTTTATGAATGAAAATAAACATACAATACAGTACATTAAATATTTTATGATATACAGTTAACCCTCACTTTACGCGGTTAATGTAACCCGCAGGGTCCCGCGTAAAGTGAGAAACGCGTAAAGTGAATAACATAACATATGGGATTAATTGAAATAGAGTCCGGGCCGACCCCCAAACTCCACTTTTTGACGACACACAACTATGTTGTAGTAAAAATTTTATCTTAACTTTATGATGGTATGAAAAAACAAGTAATATAGAAGAGGTTAGGTTAGGAAAAATAAAGGTTAGGTTAGAAAAACTAAAAGTTAGGTGGAACACTTACGTTTGTAGAAGAGATGGGTCGGCATACGGGGATGGAGGCTGGTTCCGAGGCAGAGGGCAGATTACTGGCCCTCAGGTGAATCACCATTACTAGGTGAATCACCATCACTGTCACTTACAGTTGTCAGGGCTTCCCTGACAAATCCCTCAAAGTCATCTTCACTGTCACTATCACTGGCTTGGGCTGGCTGTGGTGGGTTGCGGGCGAAGAACTCGGTTATGCTTTTTTGACGGCTGGTGTTTATGTTGTCTTGATACACCGTGAAGTACGGCTCCATAGCCTGCACCAGCCGGGTATGGAAGACTTCATAGCGGTCATCGTCATTGCCGCGGGAAAGGAAGGACTTCATTTTCTCTGCACACTCCATGGCACCCTTAATATCACTATGAGTTAAACTGTGTTCTTCGGAGAATGACGCACCTTTTTCCTCCTCTTCACTGACGTGATCTTCCAACATCTCGTCGGCAGTCACTTCAGGATCTCTGATCACCTCCAGGATGTCGTCGTTGGTGGTGTCGGAGAAGCCTGGAACTGTAACAGTCTGCGCAGCTTCTCTGGCAAGGTCCACTGCTACTGCAACATTCTGAACCTTCACCAGTCACAGATTGACTCCTCCTCTCACCTGGTATTCCATGCAACACATGTCTCCATGCGTGACGAATTGTAGCAACAGACAGCTGATCCCATGACTCCACCAAGAAGTCCACAGCTTTCTTGATGTTAAATACTCTCCAGAATTGTTTGAACAGTATTTTTTGCTGTGCCAACTGTTGATCCTCATCTTCTTCGCTCTTGCTATCTGTGGTGGTGTCACTCAGGTTACGCAACTCTTCCCTGGTGTTGGTGTAGTCGTTCAGGAGTTTGAATTTTTTTGTTGAGAATGCAGCTTTAAACATTACAGATTAACTCTTGGTCCATGGGCTGTAATGTAGACGTAGTGTTGGGAGGAAGGAAGACCACTTTTACGTTGGGGTGACGATCTAACAGTAGGGGCGAGTGTCCTGGTGCGTTGTCCAGCAGCAACAAAATATTGAATGGCACATTCTGTCGCTCACAGAATTTCTTTACATCGGGAACAAAACAGTCATCAAACCAGGAGAGGGACAGTGTAGAGAACATCCACGCCTTACGTGCGGTCAGCCAGTGGACATTTAGCTTGGTCATGTCCATGGTTTTGTAGGCGTGCAGCTTGCGTGCTGTGTGGATCACCGATAACTTGAGCTTACAGGTACCGGAGGCATTGGTAGTAAACAGGACGGTGATGCGTTCTTTCTGCATCTTCTGGCCCCGAATCCTGCTGGCATTCTTTACAACGAAGGACTTGGAAGGTAGCTTTTTCCAGAAAAGACCAGATTCGTCCATATTAAACACCTGGTCATCACTGTACTGTCCTTCCTCCATAATCTCACATAAAAACGGAGGAAATTCCCTAGCCGCAGCACGGTCAGCACTCGCTTCTTCACCACCAATGTTTATATTGGTGATCTTGTTCCGGATCTTAAACCTCTGTAACCACCCAGAGGAAGCATTAAAGGGTTTGGGCTCTGTAATTCCCATCTTTCGTGCCACTGCCATGTACAGTTCACGTGCGTAGTCCTTAACAGAGCGCGTGTCGACCGCCATGTTCCGTCGCGCCTGACGCACCAAGTACCTCACAAGTAATTTTTCTGTCTTGAGAAGCACCTGGTTGTGAAAATACTTGATCATAGAAGCACCTGTAGACTTTGTGATCTTCATGTGCTCCTTTATCTTGGCTGCATCCTTCTTTATTGTTCGAATCGTAGATTCATTCACACCATGCTGGAGCGCCAAATCAACCTGCCTTGTTCCTTTCTCCAACTCTTGGATGATGGTATACTTCACCTCGTAGCTTAAGGAACGTCGTGTCTTCTTTGGCTTAGTGCCGCTGGGTCCAGGTAAGGAAAGGTTTCTCTCTGGGGGTGGTGGTCCGGCGGAAGCCATTTTACTGAACAATGGATGCACGATTACACGGTGTGGCCTTGAGGGATGAAACTGCCGCGGCTAGGTCAAGCGTCGTCTTTCCTCCCTCCCTCCCTCCCCCGGGTGGACACGTCATAATACTTTAAGCCAATTACAGCTAGCAGCAGAGGGGGGTAGGGATGCATGGCCAATCACAGTCCGATACGTCATATGACGCCAGTGATAACGCAACAAAGACACACACTGCGCAACCTTACCGCGTGGCTTGCCCAAGCGGAGGGAGGAGGAGGGAGAGGCGAGGAGCACAGGCAGGCAGGCGGGCGGGTGGCGCGAATCTAAAAATAGCGTCGCGCCGGACACACTCCGCGTAATGGGGTTCACGTACCGCGTAATGTGAGCACGTTAGGTTCTGGCAAGGCACCGCGTAAACGTGGAAACGCGGGACCGCGTAAAGTGAGGGTTAACTGTACTGTACCTTCTTCAAACATCAAGTTTAATATCCAATGTAATGCCTTTGCCGCTTCTTTTTGCACTACTGCGGTCACTTCCACTAGATGGCCTCTTTCCAGACATCTTGAATAAGGGTAATGCACTGTACTGTACTTAATGTATGTTTGTAAAAGTTAAATCTAACTGCTGGGGCGAGAAACATGCGCGCACACTGGATGTAAACAATGGACTGACTCCATGTGGCGACGCCAAGTTTGGTGGTAGCAAACACCAAAAAATCCGCACCAAACAAATTATAATTTACTTTTTTTTTTTTAAATTTTATATCGTCATTTTTTTTAATTGTTAAAATTTACCCCGATTTCCGTAAGGGTGGATTTACGGGCTGTATCGCAGCAGCAGCAGCAGCCTTTGGGCTGCAGAACTTTTTTTAATAAACCGTTAATTATTATTATTATTATTATTGTTGGTCATAATTTACAAATTCCATAAGAGCGAAATTCCGCAACCCGGAGTTCCGTAACGCGGGGGATGCCTGTAATATTAAAGTGGGGCCTTCTGAGATGGGTCCCACTGGTCAGGAAGGTTGTGGACCCCAGGACCAACCTGATCGTCATCAAATTACTGGGGCCTCAACTGACGTTACTGCGGTTGCTGAAGGATTGGCTTTTTCACACTTGATTTTTCCAACTACAGTACAACCATTCTAAGGGAGGTGTATGCGCCTACTGCAACACACGTACACCTTTAGCTCGACTCGTAGATCTTGAATTTTCTCTTTATGATGTCATCTGGCTCAAAATATCTGTACCAACTGTGACTATTTTCCTTTGTTTCCTATACTGTTCTCCCAACTCTACCAACTATATAGAACTCTGACTATCTCACTTATTGCCATGAATCATTGCTATCCACACACCCCAACACCGAGATCCTCTACTTAGGGGATTTCAATGTACATCACAAAGAGTGGCTTGGCTCTGCAAGGGATGACCCAGGTGGAGCTTAGGCACTCTCTTTTTTCCTACTTAATGATCTGGAACAACTAATCAAACACCCTACACAGGTTCCTGATCGATATGATCAACTTACTAACATTCTTGATCTTTGTTTTACCTCTAACCCCTCACACTATTCATATTCAATTTTTGCCCTCTCTTAGGGTCTTCTGATCACAATCTTATTTCTATTAAGTTAAACTGGGCATGACCACCTCCCCCACCCCCCTCTAAACGCCAACTATGGCACTATTGGGGGGGGGGGCAAACCTGCAATCCTTGCGAGAATTCTTCTCTGGCTTTATCTTGGGATGAATGTTGCTTTCCCACTTGGGAAGCCACGGTATGTACTGACAGCATTGCTGGGGTTATACAGGGTGGTATGAGTGCATTTATCCCATCTTCTACCAAAATTTTCACTTTACAATCATGGTTTGATTGCTCCTGCTGTCTTGCACTCAGGGAAAGAGATAGGGAGTATCAAGTTATGAAACTATCTCCCTCTCCTCTTTCATTACTTCTAGGAATCGTTATAAGGCTATTCCTTGTAGGGACAAGCTGAATTTCATAAAAAGAAAGATCGATGAACTTAATATCTCTTCTTCTAGTAAATCCTTCTGGTCCTTTACCAAAAACATCTGTAATAATTTCTGCTCTCCCTCTTTTCCTCCTCTCTTCCGACCTGATAACTCTATAGCCAACTTTCCCCCTGATAAAGCCAATCTATTTGGCACCTTATTCTCCTCTAACTCCACCTTAGACAATTCCAACTCTATCCCTGCTCCTCTTACTGAACCTATACACCTTCCTATAAGCTTCACTTGTAGGGTTGCTGGTGCATTATCCAGGTTGGATGTGAGTAAGGCGCATGGACCGGACGGAATACCCCCTCGTGTTCTGAGGGAGTGTGCCGAAATTCTAGCCCCTGTGCTTGCTCGCCTCTTTTGCCTTTGCCTCAAAACCCAAACTTTTTCTTAGAAGCATGCCTTGGTTCAGCCTATCTCGAAGAAGGGTGACCATTCCAATCCCTCTAACTATTGCCCCATTGCCATAACTTCATCCCTCTCTAAGATTTTAGAAACTATCTTAAACTCATTTTCTCTGTCACCTTGAACGCCATTCTCTTTTGTTGGATCACCAGTATGGCTTTCGTCAGGCGAGGTCTACTGGTCATCTGCTCTCCTACTGCACCCATCTTTGGTCATCCTCGCTTAGGGATTATGGGGAAACTTTTGTCGTGGCCCTCGACATCTCCAAAGCATTTGACAGGGTATGGCACAAGTCTTTGCTTTTTAAACTTCCCTCTTATGGTTTCTCTCCCCTACTTTGTTCTCTAATTTCTAGTTTCCTTGAGAACCGATCCCTGGCAGTTGTTGTCGAGGGATTGACCTCTCGCTCTTTCTCTACCAATAGTGGTGTCCCACAGGGTTCTGTTCTTTCACATACTCTCTTCCTTCTTTTTATCAATGATTTACATCACACTACGACCAATTCTATCCATTCTTATGCTGATGATTCTACTCTTCTTCACATTATTTCCTTCCCCTAATTTTCAAACTAGATCTGTTTCTAGAGCTGATATCATTTCATCTATCAATGCAGATCTTTGTAGCATCTCTGAATGGGGAGGTAGAAACTTGGTGAAATTCAATAGCAATAAAACTCAGTATTTACCAGTTACACTTTCCAAATTAGATGATCTGCCACCAATCACAATTTAGGACGCTGTCATTCTGCCAAATTCTAAAATAGATATGCTAGGCCTCACCTTTTCCTCTAATATGTCAAAGAAGTCACACATCCACAACATTGCTAAAGGCAAGAAAAGGAAAGAATAATCAAACATAAAAATTCTGAAATTGTCGAATAATGTCAAAATATTCCAAACTCAGTTAAATTGGATTTGTCTTTAACTCAGGTGACCCAGATCCCCTTTTTGTCAAATTAATGAGGGTATAGATTTGGTATTTTGTAAAAGAAGAGTTTACTATAGTAAGTCCTTGCTGAACGTCGTGGTTCCATTCCTGAAAACCACGACGTTAACGGAAGAAATTTTCTCTATAAGAAATAAATAAAATACTGGTGTTACGTTCCCCGGCCTCCCTTTGCCCCATAAAATACATTACATATACATAAATTCAATGGAATTTTTATAGAAAATAGTATATATATTATACATCCAAAAAGATAAATAAACTAAATCATTTTGTATTGTACTCGCTGATGGGCAAAGGTGGAGCGAGTGTGTGGTGGGTAGTGGAGCGGAGGAGGGTGGTGGGGAGTCACTGAGACCCGGCGGGTGGCTCCTCCTCCTGCTCTGATTGGGTGAGAGGGTGATGCCCTGTACAAAATAGTCTGTGACGACATTATACCGAATCGGTGGGAAGTTGTCCGAATCATGGGTATTTAAAGAGTAGCGACGTTATAATGAAACAACATTGTTGGGGGCAACATTAAACGGACTTACTGTATTACAATCATACCAGTAATACAAAACTATCTAGGTCAAGTGCATCAATGTAATAATTGTATAAACCTGTCAAAGTGAAGTACTAAAAATAATTTTTATCCTGTTTAGTTGCAGGTGAAGAAGCCCCAGAACTTGCTATGCGACCAAACTTTATCTCAACTTTTAGTATGGCTACAGACCAGGCTGGTAAGCTGGGCATGGGCAAGAACCACAAGATGGTGTGTGTATATGGAAACTATCAGGTACTGTATTTTCATTATACACAGTACTGTACTATCACTTACCTTGGTTTATAGAATTTTATGTGGAGATGGAAGTATCGGAGTCTAAATGTATTGAGTAGATATCTTCAGTAACTCCATTAAAAACAGACATTCAGTAATAGTTAGTTGAATGCTCAGGAAGTGTACCTGTTAAAGAGAGTAGTACAGTACAGTATAGCACTTGATATGAAGATACATTCCTAACTGTGAGTGATACATGATGGCTTAATTTGGCTATTGCTATACATAGACACTTGACTAAAGAGATAAAACCAAGAGTTCTACTGTACTGTGTATGCAAACCCACAATACACAGCTATGAGGGTGGTACGTTGTGGTAAGGGCATATTGCAATTACAGTATGTATCATTTTGGATATTATGATTTCTGTACCTCTTTGTATTATAGTGTAGGGAACAACATATGATTTACATTTAACTGTATTGATGTTTACGCAGCCAAGTCTCTAGAGTTCAAATAGTTGAGATGGGCTTCAGAATTAACTTTGAACTGTGCAAGACTTTTCTAGTTTGTATATATACACAGTACTGTATAGTGTTTAATGATGGCAGTAATAATTTATTTGTATCTGTAGTAACAGTTTTCTTTTCTTCCTCTTTAAATACAGGTAGTACATTTTAACAAGCTCCCAATGGTGGTGACAGTAATAGCCACTAATACAGCAAACACTGGATTGCTCATGGATATGGACAAGGAGATCTCGGCCTTGGTGTCACAGCTAACGCATGTAGTTGATATTTAGTATTCACCAAGTCTTATTTTCTGTGTGAGATGTAAGCTTCCTTCTAAGTGTGTGTGTTCTATCTTGAGCAATTATGCTCTGTTAACTACATTACAGTACTCTAGTTGTTTTAAGTACTGTACTGTATTTTACTTTCTAGTTTTACAATAAGATTTGTTTCTTATCAAGTTTAATAAAGGAGATAATTACCAAATGTAAGAATTTTATATTACCTTTGTTGGTTATGAACGACAGTGCAGTGCTGTACAAAACGTATGTTTGTCACTTATCTACTTTACAAAACAATATTTTATGAAAAATTTAAACATACTAAATGTGAAATATAGGAATTCTGTATTGAAAAACTTCTTTCATTTGATTTTACACATACAGTGACCCCTCGTTTAACGAACACCTCGGTTAACGGTGGAAACGAGTCCGAACTGCCTTCCATAAGGATCTTCAAGCAAGTTAACGGTGAAATTCGAAGAACGTGACACTTTTAAACCGACCTCAACATGTTTTCGCTTGCACTGTGTTAGCAACCAGCTTTAGTATCAGTCCGCCAATACATTAATCGAATTCTAGGGCTTAAATTCCTTACTACCGGTAAAAATATCAAGAAGTTTATACTATTCAATAAGACAAAAGTTTAATATTCAATTTTTAGTCATTTTAACAATTATTGAAAGTAATTGAAGGTAAAGTGACTAGTTTAATGCGCGGCATCCAGCCTCTTGCTTTATAGAACACAGGATAGGAAACCGAAACATTGTGACACGATCCAAATGTCTGCATGAGTACAGTAGTGCTACCAGAGGTGTCCTGAGTATTTTGTTGGCGACTGTACATGTATAAAGAATTTTAGTCTTAAGATGACACTGAACACTGAAATGTTGTGCCTGAGTATTTCCTGTACAATATTAATATCCATCCCAGACAACGGTTGTGTTCAAGTAAAGATATAGAATGTCTGATGGTTATAAAGAAAGTAAACAGCATTTCCAGGGTCAAGATTGTGCCATGGGTCTACTGTTGTATCTTTGTAGAGTCTAAGTTATAATCTGACTGGGATAGCATGTTAGACAATTTGCTGTAGTTTTCTTCATTATCATAACCAGAATGAGTTAGGATTTTACTGGAATGTGTAAAATTGTATCATGTTATGTCAAAGATAGTTTGGCATTGTAAGGTTGAATTTTGTTCATTGGGCAGATGTAAAGTTAAGTTTTAGGTAAAGTACCAGTAAGCTTAAATCTAATGTCTTAGGTAGAGTATCCTTTGATAAGACCAAGTCATTTAAAACTCCTCTGCCAAGTAATTGATGATATGAGGAAGCCTTGAACTTAGTAAAAAATACATATTTTTTAACTCGTATGCAGTGGTCCCTCGGTTAACAACAGTTCGATTAACGAAATTTCGGTTAACGAATTACCTCCCATAAGGATCTTCAATTCGGTTAACAGAACAAAACTTTGATTAACGAAATCCTTACGAAAAACACGTTTTGTTGTGAGCATCAGCTGACGGGCGAGTCTGCCAATTCAGTAATCTGTTCTATGTTTGCATTTGTTTCCAGTGGAGTAAATATCAAGAAAGTTGTGCTCTTTAATATTTTTGCATTTTTTATATTAAATTATTAGTAATTTTAAGATTTAGTTAACATATTGATATTATAGGCAGTACAGGGAACTAATTTTTGTGCACCCATCAGCTGCTTGACTCAGCCACCAGGCATCAGTTGGGCTTTGTTGACAGTAGAGTATAAACATTGATTTTGTTGGTGTTTTGAATATTTTTGCATTTTTACATTAAAATTATTAGTTAACATATTGATAATATATAGCGCAGTGCAGTGTTGATTTAAATAAAATAATCTTGAATTACACCTAGTGAACTTAAAATTTTATTGGTGAAATTACCAGGGCTGTGGAGTCGAAGACAAAACCTTCGACTCCGACTCCTCAAATTTTTATGCTTCCGACTCCTTGGCCTATTTGTAACAACTATTTCTACCATCCTAATTGTAATTTGTATGTTGTAACCTGCGTAGGTAAAAAGTAAAACACCGTGGCTATACTGCTACGGCTTTATTAATGATCTGGACGATATTTAAGAACTACAAAAAGATGATAGGCTTGACTTGCAAAGTTTCAATCAAAAGAAAAATAAATTTATTAAGAATTCAAGATATTAACTAGAAAACACCATTTACATGTATATCTAAAAGTTCGATCTCAGCATATGAATTTTGTTTAAGCTCATAATCTGATGTGGATCTAAATGATGATCCTACAATTCCTTTTAAAGTAAAGTTATATATTTATGTACATTAAAGAAATGAATACCTTATTAAGGAAAATGGATAAACCTTACATGATTAAGTTATTAAATTAAATTTGCCTTAATCTCACCAAAAACAGGTTGTAGCTAATTGTTGTCTTTCATTTTATTTCTAAGCTCTTCCTTCTCATTTTTGCCTGCTGTAATTACCAATTTCCTAATGCTTTCTCTATCTAGGGAAATTCCAAGTTTTTTTTGCCATTTCTCCAGCCAAGCCAAGGAATGCTGGCTGTGAAAAGAAAGACACAGGAGTACTGTTGTTCACCACCATCTCGATTATGTGCTTTTTGAACTTCTCTGATGTCATTGTTACTGTGACTTTGTCAGTTTTGATGAATTTCGTTATCTGTGTTTGTTCTCCACCAGAAATCGCTCTTTTGGCTGAGGTAGATGTAATGTTTGTACTCTTATCCTTCTTCAATACAGCTTCTACTTTGGGATGAAAGAGCTGCAAATGCCTCTTAAATTGGTGCCTCGTGAGGTGAATTTTTTTTCTGAACCAAGTGAAACTACCGAGTTTGGCATCACATACTTCTCCACGTCATCTGTCGCTTAGTAAACACTGACACTGATAATGTTTCTCATCTTCTGTAATTATGCAAGTGTTCCATTTGCCAGAGTAATTTTTCTTAAAAGCATTTCTTGCCATTGTAGGTAAGGAAATGTAAAAGTTTTAAGATGTTTTAGAAATTCTGTAAACAATCTCACTCACTACTTATAATCACTCTTCACCCTCTCAATGCCAAATAAATACTGTATATAGCATGCATCCTGTAAAAGAAAAGAAATGGGTTGCTTTAAAACATCTTTCTAATCTCGGAAATACTGTACTATGGCGAATCTTCTAGTGCATATTCGAAATTCATAGAAAATATTTTTTGTGATTAGAAAAATATTAAACATTTTAAATCCTTTTATATAGACTGTATAAACTTCATTATAAAAGACAACAGATGCCAAATTTTTCCATACCAGTGCTGGACAAGTGCAGTATAGCACCCCTTCCGTTTTCCGTTTTCTATTATTAGTTGCTTTTTTAGGACCTGTTCTTTCCCTATACGAATTATTATCCTATTCTATTCATTTCATTAAACCCTTAATCTTTTGAGTTTCGGCAGAAATTATAACACACAACTTTAAAAGTCAACAAACTCTTAACCTATTTTTGCTGGGTGCTTAGATGATCACATAAATTTAGATCCGATGCTTCGTAAAAACCGAGGAAAAATGATGCATCCACTAGATCTAAAACTTCTGGCAAACAAATAGAAAAAAAATAATAAATACAAGGTTCCACTTAACTTCCCTTAGCAAGACATAGTGAGACAAATCTAAGTAAATTATTACCTCATAACCAGCACTCTGTTGCTTTCATGGGTGCTGCGTTCTTGAGTTTTGTCACTTTTATCATGTCCCTTGTGAAGGCCTATTTTCCATAATAACCTTGAACAAGAGTCTTGATAAGAAAATGTGCATTAAAGTTGGATTTTGCATGTACGGGGGTATGGTGGCTGTCTCCATGGCCATGACCTGTCAGGACAGGTCATTATGTTAATTCTCTGGGTCTGCAATCCATTAATGTTTCAATCCATAAAAGTGTTATATTATAAATGATTTTGAAAACACCAAGCACACAAAATGAAAACAAAAAATTATAGCACACCACGGGGCCTCGAAAGGAAACAACTACGACATTTTGTCAGTGCGTCACGGTCACACTACACTTGTGTCTCTGAGGAAGGCTGAATCACGTGCTAGCCGGATGCCAAAGTTTGCTTGTATTAAATTTTTCTTACTCAAAGGTCTGTAGCACTCTGTTAGTAGTTACTTTCATAGATTTTAACGTTCTTGAGTTTTATGCTTTTATGTGTCCGCCAGCGAAGGCTATTTTTTCCATAATAACCTTGAACAAGAATATGATGATAAGAAAATGTGCATTAAAAGTTGATTTTGCATATGCAGTATAGGCCCATAAGGGCGCTGTTCTCCATGGCATAAAGGCCTAAATTGGTTTCCCTCATTATTATCCTCTACGGACAGAACCATTTATAATATAATTCTCTGGTCACAATCCATTAATGTTCAATCCATAAAAGTGTTTATATTATAAATAAGTGTAAAACACAAACACACACACAAAATGAAAATAAAATTAAGTATACTTTTTGGGAGCCTCGGAAAAACAACTACGACACATTAAGTCATATTGACATTACACTTGTCTCTGAGGAAGGCTCGAGTCACGTGTAACAGGATATAACGTTTGCTTGTAGAATTATTCTTACTAATAAAAGAATTCTGATAAAAGGCCATCCATAGGGATATAACAAATGAGTAATTCTTTGGACTATTAATCTGTTGTTACCCATCAAAACATACACTAACTCCTTTATAATATTAGTACAATAAAGTTATATATGTAGTGAGGTTGCCATTTCTGGTTGGTAAATAAAATTGTCCTCAGCAGGACAGTATTAGGTCCCTATCTCTGCCTATCTATCTATCTACCTATCTAAGCAATGCACCACTTTATCTATCTATCCTCGTTAGATATATATAGGTGAATAGATAAAATGTGTAATAATTGCTACACTGTACACATGATAATTTAGAAAATATATTTAGTATATATAATTTGCACATCAATAAAACTCTTCAATCCTTATCTATAGAAAGCTCCCACTAAATTCTAGAACTGTCTTAGAGGTTGTATGATGAATAATAGATGTAAATGTGAAGTAAGTCAGAGGAAATTGCTAAGCTTCTAAAATTACTCTATGATTTATATTAACATTCATTTTCAGAGCTACTTAGGATGGCAACTGTTCCTTGCAGTTGACTAAATAAAACCAAGAAGTTTCATTTTTTCTA